AATTTATCGATCTCGCGCCGGCATCTCCGAAATGATAGCACTATCGGTTGACTGTTCCCCCCTTCCGCCTCCCCCCTATAACGGTTGATTGGACCCTGCGTCCAACAACTGTCGCTTGTCTTTCGTTTATGCCTTTTATCACTGACGATGGACTTTGGAAAGAGCCCGAAAGCTCAGACAAGTAGAAGTATCATTCCGGTCATCGAAACGCCTTCTACTTCTCTATCTATGCAAACTTTGCACTTTCCACATTTATTGCGATAAAATTGAATTACATCGCTTTTTAGATATAAATAAGAACTTCAAAGAGAAAAGTACCACTCAGATATAAATATATAATATGACAGTCCTCACAGCATATAGCATCTTTTACCCTAAGCATTTACAAGCAATCCACAACCATTTAGAATAACCTTTTGTTTAAACTATGTTTAGTTGGACGCGGATTTTTCGGTTACCTGGTGGGGAAGATGGTTAGTGCTGCCTAAAACTTTTCTTGATGAGCCTTCGTAGAATTCAATTTTAGAGCGTTTCATTCATTTTTTTGTTTTTACATTGATCATTCTTACCAGAAAACAGACAAAACCCCTATTTATTGCGAGAGGAATATTCCCGCGTTTCTACTTTTACAATTGAACGACTTAAGTCGTTCGTTCTAATAATTATGGCACGGATCCAATAGAAAAAGTAGCACAACACTCAGGTCGTCGTAGGTTCCGGTCGCCCTAAATTCCTTCTCGACTAATGCACGGCTCCATGCCACAATCGTCTTTTTGAGACCTTGTCCTGGACCTTGTTCATGGAAGAAATTGCTGTGTACCTTTGTGCCCTCAGCCACAGGTGATGCCTTTAATTTTGTAGTTTACTAGTATCTGTAGTTTTGGGTGCGCTCGCTTGGTGCGGGAGACCTGTGTAAACTTGAATATTGTTGCTGAAATCGTTCTTCAAAGCAGGCTCGGTACACTCGTTTTTAGTTCAGATTAACATTTATGCACACAAAACGCCCGAGGGAACAAATGCGTAACGTGAAACCGATAAGATAAATCTGATACTATTTGCATTTTTTACGAGTGTGATTTAAAGAAGGGAGAAATAAAAGGGCGGTGAGCTAAGAAAAAGGGGGGGGGGTTAGGACGAGACGAGTAATGGCCGTAAGGACGGTGCGTAGAGTCGCATGCAGTTAATCGATCTTTGGCCATGGTAATTTTGGAGCTTGTACTAGGTTCTTCTGCGCAAAGTCCGATCTACGTAACCTGAAGGCAGCCGCTTCTGTTGTTGCCAGCAGACGCTAACCCAATGGCTTTGGAAATTTCAGCGAAACTTTGTGAATCACGTGGAAGGCTTCGCCGGAGTCCATTCAGTGTCAGGAATAAACAATATGAGCCCTACTTATGCCCTTGATTTCGCTTATTCTCGGTCATATCAGGTGGTGTTTAGCATTTTTTGAATAGGTGTGCGCTAGTACGACCAAATTAACCTCATTCGCGGGAGCAAGTAAAGGATTGCTAACGCTCTGAGTTGGCAATCTATTCTGTCTCCTTAAATAAGGTTAGTCAAGAATGATGACCGAACAAGGTCTACTATCGCTCTGCTACGGCGCGAGTTCCAGTGTGTAACAATCTATCCCGACCGTTCGATATCCGACTTTTTGACAAATTTGCGTCCCGTTATCTATTTTTTTACCTCGCAATTGACTAAATACTCGGAAGGACCCTTGATGGGCTTACGGCTTACTTGGAGCCTGTATATGAACGGAATGCTCTCGACTAGATTTACGACATCGCTTCACTTATCCCACATTTAAGTGATCTACATCCTGTGGTGTCACGAGTGAGTGGGGTTGCGAAACGCGTTGGTTTATGCATAAACGTCTGGAACGCCGAAGTTTTTTCAAGGTGCACTACTGACCAGGAGAAGACACCCCTAGAGATTAATGGCTGTTCAATTGAAGAAGTAGGCCGTTTTGAATACCTTGAGATGAGGCTGCTTGCGAATGGGCGAAGTATGGATGACATGGTACCCCGGATCCGTGCTGCTCGCCGGGTTTTTGCAAGCCCTAAAAGTGTCTATGGATCCGACGAGACATATCCATTGCCACTAAGATGCGCGTGTACCATGTATCCGTCCACTTAACCCGCACTTGGTGTGGAAACATCGCGAGGATCTCCCGGACCATCAAGAAAAAACGACTGCGGTGGTTTTGGTACGCTCTTCGTCGTTCACCTTACAAGTCGTGTTGCTATCCTCGATCTAACGCCTTTGTCCACATGGCAGAATCGAACGGGGGGGGGAGGTCAACTGAAAACCTGACTCGACCTAATTCATCC